GGGGGGGGGGGCTTTTTCCTTGAGTGAAGCAGCTGACACGTAAAGCTGACCACTAACCTCCATTTAATGTGGAGGTCAAGAATGATGGAGCGTTTATTTATTTTTATTGCTAGTGGGGTGGGACTAAGTCCCTTGTACTGTGGCCACTTCTGGCCTATTGTAGCAGGCCCAGATGATAGGTGAGGGTGTTTGTGGAGCAATTGGTGGAATGAAGATTGGCAGGGGAAACCGAAGTACTCGGAGAAACCCTGCCCCAGCACCACTTTGTCCACCACAATTCCCACTTGATCAGACCCGGGCTGCTGTGGTGGGAACCCAGCGACTAACTGCTTGAGCTATGGAGTGGCCCATGATGGAGCTTTTCCTCCCCTTCCCCATGTGTTCATGGTGTAGTGCTTAATTAATTAAGCACAAGGACAACTTTACCTTTACCCCTATCATATCCAGACTAGACATGGGCTCTGTCTGCAGGTGTAAAGTATGAAGATTACGAAGGTGACTCACTGGCATATACAGCTGAGGTTAAGAATGTGTCAAGGTCTATCTCCTGTCCCCGATATGTATACAGTGGCCGTCTTGTAGTGCACTCAGTTTCACCTGTTACTTCACGACATGTTTCGGCAACATAGTGCCATCATCAGGTGCCCTAATTACGCTAATCTATTGCATTGCTTCCCATTATATGTCTTTGTAAAATCATTTAAAAAGTATTTAAAAGGGCGTATTCGTCAACTATAATAAATTTACACACACTAAAAAAAATGTTAAGATTATTCGTCTTATGTGTCTTAATTAAAACTTGCATGTGGTTCTTCCACTATGGGGGTCGTTTTTCTTATATTCTGTGTAAACCGTGTCTTGTGATGTGTGTTCCCTTTTTAGCTGCGAGTGTCCCCTGTATGCCTTTAGAGCATGGTGCATAGTTGTAAGGGCTACTCTATCTATCTTCTAATATACATGGTTCTTCTTTGAATATGTATGATCTTATTTCCTATCCCTAGTCCTATTTACTTTTAGACCAATTTAATTTACATATTATTCCATAAAATATTTTCCTGGTAATAAATTCTTCCTTTAAATCTTCTCATTATTTACATATTTATAAACAAATGACTATTTATTTTTAGGAAAAACTTGGTTTACAGACGAAGTACTACTGGCACAAGCAAGGCATATGTGGAAATCAATGAGCAAAGAAGCACAAGCTGAGTATGGAGAGGATTACTTTGAACAGTCAGTTCGAAGTCTGGAAACATACACAAAAGGAGAAGTATGTTGATGTACCTGGCAACCCAGAACTGCAAACACTTGTTTAATTAACACATTTTCTGGCAAACTAGGCACTGAAATCATACCTTAACTTGTTGGTCATTTCAACAATGTATTTAAGGCTGATCTTTTGGTTGATACAAATGGAATTGGTTGAAACAATTTCACCTTCATGTACAACACTTCTATCTAGCAATTTACAAGTTCTCATAAGTTTAACACAATCTAAAGAATTTAAGTAGCATTCATAAAATAATCCTACTATTTTGGCATGATTTCACACTTCTGCTAGGGAAATAATATCAAAGTTGCAGAAGACAGTCTTACTATGCAAACAGTTGGTAACAGCAGAATGAAAATGGTGGACATTTTGATTGACCAAAGAACAAAAATGAGTGTAATAAAGTTTATCGAGGAGCTAGATATTGCATAAATGATTTTATTTTTGTTAAGTTGGCTGAGGTAATGTGCTACAAGGTGGAAGGTCATAGGTTGATTCCCAATGAGTTCGTTGGATTTCTTAATCAACCTAATCCTTCCAGCCGCACTATGGCCCTGGGGTCAACTCAGGCTCTAACAGAAATGAGTACCAGGAATCTTCCTGAGGGCAAAGATAGGCCAGCACATAAGGCTCGCAACCTTACTGCTGTCTGTAAGCTGACTGTCTAGAAAATGTGGGAGCCTCATTGTCTCACAACCCAATGGGCCTTCATAGCCTATCACAGGGGTAGCTTTATCTTTACCATTATCACAGTCACTGTAAAATTTATTTTAGGGGAAGGTACTGTTTTAAAGAGGAATGGCCCTTCCATGCTATGTAGAAAATGGACTTCCTGAGGCAGGAAATAATTTGAAAAATTTTGAAAATTTTTGGTTGTCTGTACTTTTATTATACAAGAAATATATAAATTTATAAATTAGGAATTCTGTTTTCTGAGCTATAACAACACATGGCCTGCTCAACGCAACCATCATTATTGAGGGATATACATGTATTACCTCCATCTTCTGGGTCAAAGAGTAAGCCAAGCTAAAAGCAGTAAGAAGCAGATAGCAAGCAGCTCTATGTGCTAACTACTTCATGCTAGTTTCTTGCTTGACTTATTCTTCAACCTTGACGATGGAAGCAACATGTTCCTCCAAAATGTTGGTTGACTCTCACGCTGTTATATCCCGTAAGACAGAACTCTTCATAACCACCACAGTGAGAATCTAAACCCCACATCTACAAATTAATTCTTCTGATAATGGCTCCAAAACGTACAATGGAATAAAGATTTTTGTGTTAAAGTAATGCCTCTAAAGTGTTTCTGAATGATGCTCATAAACATAAAGAGGCCCAACGCAACACATGAATCAATCAAATTTTCTTCAAAAAAGGGTGCTTGTGGCATTGTCACATATCTGAATTTCATTCAGAGCATAGATATTTCAATATCTGTGTACACTTTTCATCATTATACTGATCATTACAGTCTTCCAACTTATGAATTCTGATACAGACTGGACCACAATTTCTATTAAATTGTAAGAATGATTCTAGGGTTGAATAAATTTGGAGAATTATGCATAAAATCTTTTGCTGAATAAAGAAGTTCAAATTTGGATAAAGAATGCACCCTGATAACAACATTCAACTGAACAAAGTAGATTTAAAGTTGGTAACTGTCACAAAGATAACAATTCCTTGAACTTTATCTGTCTGAAATATTGTTCTCTAATTGAAACTGCTCAGAATCTAGTTCAAAGCATTGTACAGCCTCTGCAATGAAATAACTATTGACGATATCTCCAATACTATAAGCGGTTAAGAGCCGGAATTAACATTTTACCAGGTGCTATACAGTCTAAATATCAAGTTGCCATTAAATAACCGACAGAAAAAAACTGACATATTACAGTTTTTTTTTAATGCTAGTGGGTTGAGACTAAGTCCCTTGTACTGCGGCCACTTCTGGTCTATTGTATCAACCTCAGATAATAGGTGAGGGTGATTGTGGAGCAATTGGTGGAATGAAGATTGGCAGGGGAAACCAAAGTACTTGGAGAAAACCTGCCCCAGCGCCACTTTGTCCACCACAAATCCCACTTGACCAGCCCCGGGATCAAACCCGGGCCACCACGGTGGGAAGCCAGCGACTAGCCGCTTGAGCTACAGCACAGCCTGACATATTACAGTTAATGTACTGGTAAGCAAATAATGATTTAACACTTTTACTACTTATTAACACAACAATCCCTCTAAAGCATATTATTTTAATCTGAGGTATATTTGTTTATGTAATGTAATTCCTTGATTTTTTAGGAAATGGATCTGACACCTGTGCTCCGTTCCCTGACTGATGCTGCGTGCCGCACGTTCCCCCTACCTCGTTACACATCTGTCACTCGTTCTGAGAAACTGCAGGCATTTGTGGCTGACCACCTACCACGCTCTGTATATGATATTATATATACATGAACACTTTTATTTTTGGAAAAATGTCAATGCTTCTATATCCAAAATATAGATATCATTCTCTCAGCATTATAATTTGATCTTTCAATAAATAAAAATTAATGTGAACATGGTTCTTGATATATTTAAAAATGAGCACAATTATTGTAATTACCTAAATTATACTGTCTGTCATGTACCTGTAACAATGGTCATACCGGCTTAAGAAGAAATTGCATGATTGCTACGTACTGCAGTAATATTAAGGTAAAACAAGGAGACCATTACCACAAATAGTAATAATACGTATAAAAACAAAGGACAAAAGATAAGAATGGGGAAGTTAGAAATAAAATGGAAGGATGAGAAGAAAGGTCTTTGCTGCATTTTGCCTCATCAAAGTCAAATTGTGTGCAGTGCCATAGTTCTGTTTCCCTTTTCCACCTACAAGTAAACTGCTTCAGGAGCTGGCCTAAGAAGTAGCATTGGGCTGGTTTTTATCTGTAAATGATTCTTTAGATACATCAAAAGGGAACTAATGTTTATTAAACTTCCACAAAGTTAAGGATGGTACATGAAAATGGCTCTTCTTTGTCTGCTGTAGATATTCCACTTCAAAGTGTTCAAGAGTTGTGAGATGAATAAGTTCATGACTGTAATAAGGCATGGGTGTTACTCATCTATAAAATTTGGACCAAGTTTGAAATAAGGCAGTTCTTCTTCTCTCTTTCCCAGCATTTTATGGAACCCATTACCATGTTTTCAAGGGCCCCCCACTGGTCCCTATCATGAGCCAGCTCAATCCAATCCAAACCATCCCATCCTATCTCTCCAAGATCCATTTTAATATTGTTCACCCACCTACATCTTGGTATTCCTAGTGGTCTCTTTCCTTCTCGCTTTCCCACCAATATTCTACATGCATTCCTCTTCCCTCAATTCGTGCTACATGCCCCACCCATCTCATCCTCCTTGACTTGATCATTCTAATTGTACTTGGAGAAGAGTACAAGTTATGAAGCTCCTCATTATGCAGTTCTCCGAACTCCTGTCACTTCATCTTCTACATAGATTTTACACATCCTGCAACTAATTAGGAAAATTAAATAATATGCATCCTATTTCTGGAACAGTCTTCTGAGTTAGACGTCTGCCATTCAGGCCTTTTCTCTGCCTCACTAAGAAGCTTGAAGATGCACAATAATAATTACAAATAAGAGGTCCTTCAGATTCGTACCACGCCATTTTCCTGGGATTCTAGATTTCTCTGGACACAAACTCGTAGCCTGTGGTGTGTACAGAGTTGAAGATTTTTATTCCATGTGGAAAAGCATAAAAAGCAGTGCTCTGCTTATGAACACCATATATTTTACCTTTCAGTCGCGACAGATCTGCGTGCCTCCTAACTGCTAGTTGTAGAGAAGTCAGGTTCGGAATAATGCCGCATTAGATCTTCTACTTCATATTTTCCGCTGGATGATTTTTGTAACATTTGTGGAACAAAAAATTTAAAGAATCTTACAAATGGCATTAGAGTTTCAATAACTGAGTGACAAATTAAAGGTTTTGTGACCGTCTGTACTAGTACTCTCCGACTTCAATATTACATTTTAACTTCAATGTCTGGGTGCTTTTACGAGTCTAATGCCAATAAAATTGTTCCCAGAGGTCCCAGAGCCAATTTCATCCCGAACGTATATCAGACGAATGCTAATGTAAAAACGGATCGTTTAACTGAGGCTATGCTTTTTACCTCGGTAATAGCGACGACCCCTTCCTCTTTCGCCGGTACAGCTCCTCGCACGCGCGTCGTTGTTTCATCAGTGTCACAGTTGGTATCGTTGGTAGCTTGGTAGTATTCGGGAATTCGGGAATTCGGGAAGCATGGTAAGCGTATGTGGGTCTTATTCGGATTGAGAAGACGTAGACGTAAATTATTAAACAATGAAAACCGTATGAATTGCTGTTGTATGCATCTGCGATTTGGCGCTTAATAGCACAGCGGATTTTGCATAAAGGTAAATTTCTATCCTTTCATTAAGTTTGCAGCTCTGTGTTTATTTTAGGAACAAAAATTAGGTGGAGGTGTGGCTATTTGATTAATAGGTAAATGGATTTTGTTGATGACAGTTTTGTATCAGAACAAAATTAGGGCATATACGTATCATTCGGTATTGACTATGAACAGAAATGATTATAATGTATACGGATTTCCGTTCAATTCTGTATAAACACGAATCCCAGTGTGTTGACCTATCCACATTTTATATACTTTTGTAAGACATGTTATATTAAATTCACCGAATAACAGCAGAATTGTGAATAATTAACAACATACCTATGAGGTGGAGTTGAGTAAAGTATATGGGTTGCGAGGTCGTCGCCACCGAAGCAAGTATTGATTATATGAGGCGTGTGGGGGTAATGACCCAGGCCGTCTGTAACTGACCTGCCTCAAATAGCTGCCAGAGTTCACACTTCTAGTCTGGTTCGGATAGTGACAGGACCTGTCTCAGTACCCTCTGCCTGTGAATTCTGTCAAGTATTGGTCAGCTAGGTGTTTGAAGTGTTCAAGGTAAAATCAGTTCTTTATGTTGAAGTGACATGTAATCTACTATTTTCATATTATCTAAGAATCATGCATTGGAAGTGACATGTCCCATAGTGTCAATAAAGTGTTTTGCATAGATCTCATTTTTGCAGAAGCAGTTTATTTATAACCTTCAAAATTTTCTGAAACTTGTAATTCTCCTGAAATGGATAGATTTTTTCAATTTGTGTATGCATTTTTGTTCATTTGTTCAATTTATTTACGTTCTGTAAATCAAGACACAGGTAGACACCATAGGATATGGAACAAGTCAATACAATATAAATACAATGACATCTGTACAATAACAGTCAAGTTGAAAAATTAATAAGATTACAAATTACATAAATATAAGTTAATTGTACTTATGCATCACAATTTGATTCTGCTAACAGAAACAATGTCAATGAGTACATCGCTAATAAGTAATAAGATTATAAATTACATAGGTACAAGTTAAATATACTCGTGCATCACAATTTGAGCCTGCTGTCAAAAACAGTGTCAATGAGTACATCATCAGCGGTTATAAAATATGTAAGTAACAGTAAAAGCAAGCAAGCAAGCAATCTCCATTCATACATTCATATGCAATCCATAGACCCCCATAAGGGAGACCTGTGAATACAGTAAAATACAGTCAAAAATGGCAAGTGGGACAACAGCATAGATAAAAATATTCTTCCAATGAGTATAATTTAATTACTAGTATACAGTTACTTTATCTCATTGGCTATAATTTATTTATTCATTCATTCCTTCCTTCATTTACACTCATCAAGCCTTACTTGGCTGGTAAACTAAAATAAACAGTGACAACAAAACAGATTATGTGGCTTGCCTGGGTACAGTTAGACAAACACAGTCAAACACATATTGTCAAGACAACTCCCAATATAGTCATTAAACTGCTATGCAAGCATGCGTCAAACTATCAACGAATAACACTGCAGTAATCAAGAATGAAATGTACTGCCACTCGTTAAGCATGTAATGAACCAGGATCTTTAATCAGTATTGTGGTTAAAATATTCCTCCAGTGAATAAAATTAATTTAGGAGTAGAAACCTATTTAAAGCAAATTTAAATTGTTTGATATCATGAGCTGTGTTATTTATGCTAGGAGGGAGTCTGTTAAAAACCTTGATACCAAAATAATATATTCCGTTTTGGAATGCTGACAAATTGCATGTAGGATAGTGAAGGTTATTGTTGTGTCTTGTATTAATGCTATGAATTTGAGAGTTAGTTTTAAATTGTTCTCTATTTTCGGCCATAAATAGCGAGAGAAAATATATACTGTGATTGGAGGGACAAAATTTTCGGTTTCTTAAACAATTCCCTACAAGAGTCACTTTTCCTAGAGTTAGTGATGATTTGTACTTTCGATTATTTACTGTTTTTTTTTTTTGTTCTTTTGTTTTAAATAAAAATCTTCATCCATACTGGTGAAGAATATCCATATTTTGTTCCTGGGCTTTCTAGCATTATATTCTGTTCAGTCTAATGTTCCAGAGACTTTCATAAAATGGCTGGAAGAAGAGATTGTTTTCCTGAGCCACTGGGTTATTTCTGTGTTGCCTATAACACCTACAGTGATTGGAGGAAATTAGCTATTCTTGAAAACAAACACGAAAACTGATTTCAAACTTTGCGGATAGTTTTTTATCAGAAACTTCCTACAACACATTGAAAGATATTTTGGACCATAGGTTTCTCAGTAGACTTTAAATTTTCCATTTTATCAAAAGATTGAACTGTGAGCCTGACAAATTTAAAACTTTATAAATGACTCATATTGTGGTGTTCAGGATTATGACACCAGAGAACATACTGCCTTGTCTTCATGGTAGTGCAGACACAAATTGTGTGTGCTGAGTGTAACTTTTCTTTTAATTAAAAGGAAAGAAGGGAATATGAGCAGTGCCATCTTCCACTGAACACATAAAAGCTGACATTTATTCACACAGTCTGCTCATTAAGAAATACTGTACAACATTTGTACCAACAAATGAAGCTTGAAATATGTTCGGCAAAACATGTTGTTCACTAGTATCGGAAGTCCATGAAATTGATAGAATTCTCACTACCCAAAAAACAGATTCTGATATAGTTGACAGTAATTAGTCTATTAACTCATTTTCCTAGGTCAGCAGAGAAATCAGTCAGACATAGATGGACCAAAATACTGAAAATTCCCAGACGGGAAATGGGGTACCTTTCAAAGTTGTTGACTTGACACGAGAAAAGAGGAAAGGTGTTGTGGCAACCACATTGCAGGACCTTATCGTTCGTGGTAAGTGTTGTCAGTATACACTCTTCCTAACCAAGATAGTCTCCTTCAAAAATGTTATTCATAAAACATTTCAATTTTTTTGTGCTGTTCGTAGCTCGTGATAAAATGGGTCTTCCAAAGGATATTCCTGTGAAGATTGTCTTAGAGCAAGATGGTACAGAAGTTGATGATGACGAGTATTTTAGTACAATGGAAAGAAACACCACTCTTATGGTTCTAATTAATGATCAGCGATGGTTACCTCCAGGAAAATTACCCAGGTGAGGATAAATTGTTCAAAAGTATATGTAATGTACTGAGTACTGGGGACTCCCTCTTTGCGGTAAAGTCTCAGCTTTGTTATATGAGCTATTGTGCTGTTAACCCCCCCCCCTCCTTTCTTCCATGTTCCTCTCCAATCCTGCATGTTATTGAATAATACAGGGTTATTCATAAGTCCATGAAACATTTTTAAAATTTACAATAAATAAACTACGCAATGGATACCAAATTTTGTTACACTGAAATAGGGATAAATTCACCAAGTTCTTTTTACATAGTTCACAGATGCTCAATGTGTCCATCTTTGCTGATACAGCAGACATCTATGCAATAATCCATTTTGTCCCACACCCATGTCAGCATATCACGGTTGACGAGAGCCACAGCAGTGGTGATATGGTTGTGAAGATCCCTGAGATTAGCAGGCAGTGGAGTCTTTTAACAGAAAAAACTTGGAGAGATTCATTCTCTATCGGTGTAAGAATTACCATGATCCAATGCCTAGTTTATTTGTTGTGAAGTTTTAAAATGTTTCACAGACTTATGAGTAACCCCGTATACAGAGGCCAGTGTTTAATGCTGTCTCCCATGAATAACACGTATCTACATTAAAATATTATCAGTACTCACGAGATGAACACGATACACTTGAACAAAGAAGACTGCTTGCTCATTGGTGACCTACTGCATACCTTATGTTCAAGCAGTATGTTTTCGCTCTACAATTCATTACTGTGATAATCAGAAGCTACATAATGCATAATGACAATGATTAAATAAATCCCACACTTACAAATCTTTATATATATATAATAGTGGTGGGTGGTGACAGTTGCGTAAGAAGCGTATATGCTTATTTTTAGGTACCAAATAATAGTAGATGAACCAGATTCTAGTGGGATGCATACCAAAAGGAATTTAGGTGGTTTGGTGGAACGGTTACAAGGTGATCTTACTCATATATCCATGCTTGGTGGAAAAGATCTGGAGTTATTGAGTGATATGGATCCTGAAAGTTTAGCAGACATCATGCCTGATAAGTAAGTACTAGGAAGGCTTAGGTAATTTCTTTTCCCTTTTATATTTCACTAGAATTAATTGTATGTGGTCCTGGAATGTGCTTTGTTGATCAGAAATAATTTGGAAAGAAATATATTACAGTTGATGCTCTAGTCTGCATATATTTACATTGTAACTATTATTTTCTTGTGTTTGTATGATGTGTAATTTGTTTCATCCTTTGTATATCTGCTCATCTGTATAAGGTTCTCTGGAGAGATATCTTATATATTATAATGGAGTTAGCAGATATTATCAGATTTGTAAGTAGTTGAAGATCTTGAGTCAGATTCTAATTTTTCTCAGGCATCCTGTTGAAGTGCTCCTGAAATTATGTATGCAGAGCAGGAAGCTTCCAGCAAAGACCAAACATTGGGAAATGCTAGGATAGTACCTATACCATTTAAGGTTCTCAGTTGGACTCAGTAGTGTAGTCCCAGAAATCACGTTCTGAACAAATGTCAGACTTTGATAATCCCAGCAATTCTAAAATTGAATTTAGCAAATTGGAATTGGTACTAGTTGTTTGTTATATGTTTGCTTGAAGGAATTCCTTTCTTTGACTGAATTTGAATTAAGAAATGTGTCATACAAGAACAGTTTGTTGATGCATTTTAAATTAAGTTTGCTGACAACTGTATATTAGTCATATTTATGTTTCCTGAAGTAGGCAGGTTATGAAACAATTTTTGCACTTTGTCTCTAATTCAGCACTTTAAAAAATGTATAAAATCTTCACAAATACATTTTCAGTTGTTGCATGGGTAGAAATCAGGTGCGTCTTGATTCTCATTTTCAGGGCTTTAGATGCATGGATGATGCTATAGTTCCAGTCAGTAAAACTCTTTGTCTGCAAATGCAAGCAGCCCATCTATAAATATGGTACAGGCTTAAGAATCAACTGTTGCCTGTTCCAGCAGAACCTTCCTAGAGCAGCTGAAGGAAGCTAGTGGAAGATTCCTGTCAGAAAAGCGACAGGCTCAGGAAGCCATGGAGTTGCTCAAACTGTACCATGCCTCCCAATAGAAGGAGCATATGAAAGTAAAATTGGGCACATAGTCTGAGGTATGAATGGGGACTTCCCTCGCCCAGAATTGGGTGAGTTACATTTTGTACATAACTTGTTTGCAATTACTTGCCTGGTGTGTATCAGTAATTTGTAGCAACTGGTATAAATGTTTAACTACCCTTTTTCTGTAGGGTGCAGGTATGATAGTGATATCAAGATTTTAAACATTTTTTTAACAATGTAAAGATATAACAATCATTAAATGTGCATTAAGAAGTGTTTGCTCCAAAATTTGAATCACCAGATATACGTTGCTCATAAAAGTACCCATATTTAATTCGTTTAAAGTTACCATATTACTGTTAAAGAAACCGTGTTGGTTTCCTTACAGTGAGTGCTCCATATATAGATTTTCCAATATGTACAATATATATCATCATAATCATTACCACCACCAATGTGTCATGATTTTGTATTGTGTATATTGTAAGTAATGAATTCTTGAATGTTTTACTCATAAAATCTTTACACAGTGGTTTAAATATTTGTGTTCTTAATATTATTACAAATGTAACACCAATATTTCTTCCCCAAGAAAAATGTACATACTTTCAAAACAGTTTCCAGTAGGTGTATACACACATTTTTTTTAAATTTCTTGTGGCATTTATATTTCTTGGCCAGTTAGGAAAAAGGTAACTATCAGTTATTCTTAGCTTTCCAGTTCTGGTTTGCTTTTGCAAACTTCCAACAAGCTACCATAAGGTTACTGCGGACTTCAGTCCTACTGAGTTATGCAGTGCTGCTTTCACATTATTTTGTTGCAGGGTGATCATGATACAGTTTGATCTAACATATTTACTAGCATGTAGCTCAGTGACTTAGAAGCCACTAATGGTAGCTTCATTATTTCAGATGAGGCTGACCAATAGAATGCTGTTCATCATATACAGCACAAGTATTAAGGGGTCAGTCCTGGAAACTGAACTCTATAGTCCCCACAGTCACATATCAATGTCAGAACGTTAATTAATTATAATCTGAATTAATGTTTCAGTTATTGTTTGCTGTTTTGATCAGTAAACTTCAGTTCAAAGCAATGTATTTCACAAAATATAGGTGCATTTAGAATGGGTGTGGGCCCATAATTATTTAAATTCAAAGTTTTCTAGCATTATTCTAAGTAGTTATATAGCCTACATTTATTTCTCTTTATATATGCCTATCATGCTGTGATTAACCTTTATTGTCCAGGATTAGAGGATATAAATCTGCTACTACAACGCCAGCAGCTTGATTTTAACTTTCCAATAATTGGATTTATATTGCAAACAGTGTGACACTGGGCCCACTGGACCCATGCATGTGCTGATACAGTTGTGAGAAGCACAGACAATAAAGGTTACTTTGCTTTTATTGTGACATCCCATGCAACCAACTTCACACTGCCATCCATAATCTTAAATAATAAAAAGGAAAATCGTTTTTCTGGATGAAGAATTACAGTCAGTTGTAAGAGTATTTTTTTAAGCATGATGAATCAATTTGTCATATAACTTGCATATCTGTGGTACAGCTGACATCCAGTACTGATGTACTCTACATACCACACCAGAATATCCCTGGGTGGACTAGGGCAGTGGTTCCCAACCAGCGGTGCATGCACTCAAGATATGTTAAATGTTATTAGGAACATGTAATAAAATGAACTTCTTGGTACTTGTAGAGCTTCTTTAATGTTTACAGACTGCACCTACCATTTTCTTGGAGAAAAGGTGTCATAAAAGTGTGGGAACCACTGTATTAAGGTAAAGCAGGGTGTTGAAACCTCTCATTTTTGTGTAATAGTACTCGACACAACTAGGAGACATATTGTTTTCTTTATTGTTGTGTATGCTCATGATACAGTGAAACTTGTCTATGTTGGTCCACTCATACTCAACCAAATTAAGCTTGTGACTGACATTTTTCTATGTAGCCAGTATAGGAAGGTGAAAATGTTGTCACAGGGTTTGGATTGATTATTGAACTACAAATTCTTGTAACACACTTACTATTCTACACAATTTGGAAATACGTCTGCAAGTAACTGCTGTTTCTTCTCTACTTGTTGCTTGGTAGTGGCTTTTAACAGTGGGGATTCCTTCTACTGCTTCTGTGCTCAGCAGTTCCTGTCCTCACTGGCTGGTGAGTGTCTGCTAACCATGGTACTGAACAGAACATAATTTGCTGCACGGTCGTCCATGGTTTAGGATCCTGTTGGGACCCATGACCATATTTTTGTGTCTTCTAAGACATCTGTGTCTTTTGAAATGGGAGCTCTTTGATGAGAGGAGGAGTTGATCCTGTTGGTTGGTTGTGTAAATTGCTGCTGGCCTTTGCCAATATGGTCATTTGGTTCTGGGCCCTGTGGGACCTATGACTGTATTTTTCTGTCTCATGACTTTGACTGGGTCATGTGACCCTCTTCCATGTTTTTGGTTTGGTCTGGTAATTTGCTGCTGGTCTTTGCCAGCATAGTCATTCTTGGTGGGGAGAGCAGTGATTATATTTTTCTGCCTCACAGCTCATGTTGGCTGGTAAATTGCTGCTGGCCTTTGCCAGCCCAGCCAAATAGGTAAACAAATGATGAAAGTAAAGGTATTTCACTTCTGATGGGGAGGCTCAGTGGCATGCCCATTTCCCGCTTATGCTGCACATCTTATGTCTTCTCTGAGAGCACAATTCCAGCTTTCAGGTGTCGTGTCACAGTATGTACAGAATCATCGCATTAAATGCAAGAAGGTGGGAAAGATGGATATAAATGAACGCGATTTATCTGGTTTCATAAAAGCGTGGTCAATTATGGCAGGTGGCCAACTTCACAAGTTTCACTGTAGTGTAATTAGAATTATTATCAGAGTAGTTGGAGGCTGTGTTTATTCTATGTTATTACTGTTACTGAACCTCTTATGAAATATAGATTTTTCCCCTCTAGGAAAGACTGCTTTTTTTTTTAGTATGACTTAAGTCTAATTGATGCACCAATTATATGTATACTGAAGCTGATACAGTAATGTGCAATGGTCCAGACTCCAACCATTCATCATATTATCAAAAGAGAAATACACATCACCTTTTTAAATTACTTTGACCACAGATCATTTTAAAAGTGGGTTTTGTTTCAGGCAACTTTAAAAAGCAGCTTGATGGCTCAGAGTTAAGTGACTGTGGTCTGTGAAGTGGCATATAACAGAATGAATGTTAACAAGTTTCTGTTTAGGAATATGAAAGAAACAGAACACAAGTTATTAGTACAGGAAACTGGGGCAGATTGAAGTAGTCTGTTTAGTCCATGATATGTTACGCATATATATACATACATAATAATTTCATAGAATCTTTATATTTGAGGCCGTTGTCTCACTCTAGAACAAGTTTGTTGGGAGCTTATTTACATCTTCCTTTATTTTTTTAAGATGTTTCTCTTACANTTTTTTTTTTTTTTTTAGGATTCTGTCTTCATTCATTCCTAAGATGTGTCTGTACCATCGTATTGCGTTCTTTATTAAGTTATTTTTCTGTTGTTTAATTGTCATTATGTCTTCTGGTTTTTCTTTCTATAATTTTTAAAAATCTTGTCCTTGTCACCGTTAGTGTGCTAATATCTGCTTTCGTCCATTTCATTTATTTCATTATTTAAATTCAATAAATCCTCTTTGGTGACGCCTAGGATGTTGAACAAGTCACAGTGAAATCAAAACATAAACAAGAACAGTTCATAAACTAGAACTCAATCACATACAGAACAATCATAAAATGAAATTATTCATAGTGATAATCAAAACACAAAAAGTGGAAATTGTTCAAGTTAAAATCAATTAAATTACAATCCATAATAGCTTGTGCAACACCATAACATGCATTTCACAAGATTTCAATATACACATCATACACAAGAACAGTTCATAAAATAGAACTCAGTCACATACAGAGCAGTCATAAAACGAAATTATACATAGTGATAATAAAACCACAAAGAAGTGGAAATTGTTCAAGTTAAAATCGATGAAATTACAACCCATAAAAGCTTACACAGCACAACCATAACATATACATTTCAAAGATTTCAATATCAAAATATACTAAAAGTTCAATTAACGAATACAAACATAAAATATGGTAATTACATATATCTTTTTCATTCATTCATTTGCATGTTGATAATATTCATTCATAGAATAAAGGGAATGATGATACAAAAACCTCTTTAGTGCTGATTTAAAACTTTTCTCCTCATTAACTAACATTTGTATTGACTGAGGGAGACTTTTATACCTGTTATATAGGGTCCCTTTTTTTTTTTATTTTGTCAGATTCATGGCAGGCCTATGTATGTCTTTGTGAACTCTAGTTTTGTGTTCATGTATCTCACCATTAATAAAATACAAGTTTTTATTATTCATTATAAATAAAATTAATGAATATATATACTGTGAGTATAGTGTCATTATTCCCATCATTTTAAAAATCTTCCTGCATGACTCTCTGGGTATAGTGTTGGTTATGATTCTAACAATTCTTTTCTGCATTATGAATACTTTATGTACATTGGTTGCACTGCCCCGCCTACCAGGAGAGTTCATCTGTGATTTGAGAGTTTTTATGCTGTTATCAAGATGTTGCTCTTTGGCATTACTTGATTCTGACGTTATATGATTTCTATTTATAGGTAATATCCAACCCACACATATAGGATTATATATTTTTCCCTGTAGGATTCCCTTAATTTCTGTTACTATTTGTTGAGCTATTTGTCGTTTTCCTAATTTGTTTAAGTGCAAGCCATGATGTGTAAAAGTTTCTCTACTGCTAATTTCAAGTATTGTGACATGTTTGTATTGCTTAGTGACCTTCCTTAATTTTCTATTAAAAGCCTGTACTTCTTTAGTTACACAGGAGGTATCCATTAAATCGTATCTGTGTGATATATCAAGTACTATTATGTTTGCATTTATTTCTTCACAAAACTTTGCAATCTGTAATAGTGCTATTTTTTAATTATTTCTAGACACATCATTAGAACCACCATATAGCACTATTGTGTCTCCTTTTTGTCAGATGCCTATAGTTCCTATTTGTTAGTCTGCAACCTCCGCAGCACCTGCTCCCGGTTTGCTTATATCGTATACCTCAAAATTACTTCCTAAATAATCTCTTAGCATTATTGCACTCCCCCTGGAATGACTATCACCAATTATGATTATGTTATATTTGCAATCCTCCCTTAACTTGTTATCTGTCTTAATTACTCCATTTGCAGCAGGTCTTATTATAGGTATTATGTTTTGACCGCTATTATTTATACTACTGTTACAACAATGTTCCGTTAAGGATATAGTGTTATCACCATTATTCGTTGCTAACCTCCCATTTATAATTACTGGTATTTGGTTAATAACTACTCCTGCGTTTTTTGTTGTTACAGCATTGTATTTCTTTTCATTACTGTCTATGAAATTACTTATACATGTAAACTGACCTTCGGTTGAATTTGCTAGTTTCACTGCTTCATTAGTTATGTTCATAACTTCGACACTGGATCCTACTATCGTTAATAACATATTATTTCCGTTTGGATTATCATTTGCCTTATCCATTATTTCTCTGTTATATTTCTTTTGTACATGTTATGCTTCATACAGTAGTAACTTCCAAAATAACTTTTTCTTTTCAATCTTGGACAATTCTCAATTTCAGAATATATTCCTAGTTAATTGATAAACTTTTCCTGCATTTTTATTCTGCAATTTCTTCTCCCTAAGTATTTAAAATTCTCCAGTTTCTTCATTTCCACATCTGCTGTTTTCAGATGCGATTCCCTAATTATGCATTTGTCTAAATTGACATTTATTCTAAAATCCTTACACATTGTGAAACCTTATGAGATTTTGTTTCTAGAATACTGTCATTTGGTTCCCATATAACTGTCATCTGCATGCTCTATAGATTGTGGTATTCTACTGTCTGTTTCTTCTTGTAGTATTCTTGCCCTTATCCACTACCATGTGAACAACATTTAGGATAAAATACTTCCCTATCTAATGACTCTGAAAACTTGAAAGGAGCTTACTTATTCTTACACGTTAAATTGTAGATGTAGGTATGTGTTCTAGACAGGCTATTCAGTACTTGTGTATTAACACATTGAGGACCGGTCGCATGATATCATGATTTTAGGACACGTTAGATTGTAACACACTATACCTTTCTCTGGTGCCACCCAAATGAAATGACTACTGCATAATATTATTCCGGAATGTTTGCTTAGTAGGCAGTAACTTGATCTCGCTGTTTGGGCTCCCCCTCCAAAGGAAAATGATCTTTGACCCTTCAAGCTCTTATGTACCAGGCAGGAAGTTAGTAGTGCCTTGAGTCAAGGACAGAAGCGGATGAAAACCAAGCGATCTCTTGGAAAACATGAAATATCTGACTTGTTCTCCTACGAGCTGAGCCATCTGACGTTTCCTTCTGAGACGTGTAGTGATAGTGATTCAGACAGTGGCAGTGACACGGGACAACAAACAATTGTGGCCACAGACAATAAAAGTGAAAGTAACGCTGACGAAATTGCAGGCAGTAAAATTGCGGGAACAGCCACATGTGGAAAAGTAGACAAAACTCCTACTTTTGGACAGTTTACTGGAAATCCAGGGGTGAAACAAATTCCATCGGACCCAACGGAAGTGTCTGAAGTAGCAGAACTGTTTTTTGGAGATAGGGATATTTATGTTGTGAATATGATTTCCACAATTCGAGCATGGTTGATGTTCAAAGGACACATGGACAAGTAAAGAAGCCTATTTGTATTTCTGAGTATAGTATGTTCATGAAGGGATTTGATAGAGCCAATCAATACTTGGCCTATTATTCTCTTCCTAGGAAAATAATAAAATTGACAAAGAAAGTTGCCTTGTGGCTTATAAATTGTGCCATTTTCAATTCATTTTTGGTTCACCAAAATCTAAATCCTGATTCAAAATTGAAATACAAAGCATTTCTGATGAGTGTGGCAAAGGCCTGGGCTACAGACCAGATGGTGGCGGCAGAGAAGAGTGAACATTCCAATGGGAAGTATCCTAGGCAGTGTCGTGTTTGCACAGTTCACAAAAAAAGAAGTATGACTGTCTACATTGCAAGTTCTGTGTAATGCCACTTCACAAAGGGGAATAAGCACTTCTAGAAGCACTGGTAAGTGTTTTCCAAAAATTTTAGTTCATAAAATTAATTAGGACATTTTATATTAATTTTTAGTGAACAGTGCACAAGTTAGGGTAGTAGGTTTAAAAATGCCTTCCAAAAATTTTAGTTCATAAAATTAAGTAGGAGATTTTATATTAATTTTTAAAGTGAACAGTGCACAAGTTAGGGTAGTAGGTTTAAAAATGCCGGTCCCCAGGGTGATTTGAATATTTAAATTGCCAGTCCACAAAGTGTTAAAAGTAAGAACACATTATTATGCAGTTTCACATAATTGATATATAACATGTTTAGAGTACAACCAATTAATGATTATGATATGAACGAAAGAGCAGCATAAATTAATTTCATGTAACAAAAATGAAGAAAAGGAGTTGTAAAATGTGTTGCCCCAGGCAGCTGCTTGGTTTGCCCATGCTGTTTCAATGGTCCCAATGAGTGTACTTCGGTGTTCATATAGAAGTCCCCATGTGTTTCTTAATATGATGCACTGAGCAATAATTGAAACACACAGAACTCTACAATAAATGTATTTCTATTAATATTATTAACCAAGATGTTTGTTTATCACCATAAATAATGGAGATTTCAGAAATGAACTCATTAAAAGTTGTTCCTCATTGGAGGATGATAGTTATGGGCTTCAAGGATGGGTGGAACCTCTTATTACATTTTTCTTGTTATGTGGTTACAATTTGATTAAACCGTAAATATATAAATTAATACAGTTTGTTATACTGCTGCAGTCTGTTGGAGTGTGGACATGTGTAGTACTAGCAAAAATTACTGTTTTTTAAATGACTGGATTTTACATGGAGAGATTTTCTGTCATTTGGAAGGTTTATACTAAGCAATAGTGTACTACAAAGTATGCTTAGTGTTTTTAAGGAGTAGACTGTAAACTTTAGATCTGCTTTATTATGGCTATATTGTAAGGATGCACTGGTCTAGCATAGGGGAGAATATAAACATGTACAACTAATAGTCTTACAGTTTTATAAAATATAAGCATTAATGACTTCCCAGATTGTAAGAGTGGGTCAGTCTGTAAATGCAAGTGGAATTTGAAAATATTTTAACAACAAATTTGCCTACTACCAAACGTTAATGTAAGTGCTAAATCATTACACGATAAATAGACCTATTTGATACTGGTATATTGAAAGCTGCAATAACAAGTGACAATGTTATATTTTGAATCAACCTGCTGGGACAGTGTGGTTCCAGTAAAACAGTGAATATCATAAAGACAGATTTAATGTAAACTATGCACTTCTGGTTTGATTTCATATACCATGCAAGAGCTACATTTCATTATAAATCTAACTGTTGCATATGAAATGTGTGAAGCTTGTAGGATAGCATTACACAAGTATTAGAAGTCAGGTCCTCCAAGTGTCTTAATAAGGAGTGAAAACTGTTTTCATTTTTCCAGTAAACTTTGAAAAATACTTGAGAAAGCAAATGATTGATCTATTCTGAGTGGGGGAGGAACACTATTACAGAAGTTGAATATTCTTTCTTCATTCTGTGTACATTTTCCTCAAGATGATTGCCAAGTGAGTATCACACGTGTGAGGCCCTGGATGCACCCTTTGGCCAAAAGATCAGGCATTGTGACAGGATTTTCATGGCTTTCCTTAGTCCCTTGAGGCAGATGCTGGGATAATGCCTCATTAGACCACAACTGCTTCCTTCCACATTCTTTCCAATTCACTGTTACTGATTATCCTGCTGGTCAATGCTGTACAGTTTGAGCTGCTGACACTTACTTTAATTAAGCCATAAATAAGTAAAAAATAAATACTTTTTGAGTCACATAACTTCATTTACTTAAATAGTATGCTGGAACCTGTTTTCAGGGGACAGTAACATTAAAATATATCTTAAGCATGGATTATGCTAGGTTAGTTTACATACTTATTTGTAGCAACTTTGTTGCCAGGCAAGCAGACAATTAGACAGGAAAGCAAACAGTCTGAGAGATATACTCATAAAAAGAAAGTGGGAAGAATTTTCAAATTCACTTGCTACTCACTATCATTTTCACTAGCCAGCAAGTAAACAAACCTCATGTAGTAAGGCACACAATTGCATCAACCAGTAGAATGAAGACACACATCCTCCAGCTAGTGATTTTAACCATGGTTTGACAATCTCAGTGTGATAAGATACTCATCATTAGATAGTTCACTTGCTAGTAAATTTGATGGCAAGTAGTAAGTAAAGTCATCTACTGTAATTGACATCTTAGGGAAACTGATTGTGCATGTGAACAGGATTGAACTGGCTCAGTGGAAGGTTTAGTTTTAAACAGTTTGATTCTATTTCCATTCAGTTCACCTCTCTATTCCTCCTGAACTCATGTTCCTGTGTTTTATCCAGACATGTTAGTGTAACTAATGAACACAGTCTTTAGCTATGGTATTTTAAATTGATTTTCAAGTTAAGTCATGGAAACATGACCCAAGCAAGAAAGAAATGAAATCTGTACAGTGTGAGTAATGGGAAAGAAATGAAGGAGAATACATGAATGTATAGTATGTTATATTTATTTGAAGTTCTTATACTTGTCTGTACTTCTAGGAATAAATTAAATCTGTACAGTATTGATAATGGGAAAGAAATGTAGGGGAATACACGAAAAGTACAATTTGAAGTTCTTTTGCTTATTGTTTCTAGTTCTCTTAAATTACATTGATTTTAATACACTAATTAATAAATCAGATTAGATATTTCTTGTTGATTGTTTCTGATCACATCCCATTCCTTAATGACAGTTTTTAACCCCATTTAACTCAAATCAAGAACAGTAGTAGTTTTTAAAATGTGAGTTCACAACTTTTGTTGAGAGCTGTACAAACTTAATAAAAGATTAAAAACAGTAAAGCACAATTTCCATCATGATAACTCTAAATCTGAATGTAAGGTTTCTGGAAATAATTCAACGTAAGAATGTGCATTCAGGAGGTGTACACATTAGTTGCAATGAACTTAGATCAGATACAAAATGTGTTTAAAAAATGTCCAATATGAATAGTTCATCTACCTGTTTGCTATATGCATTGAACTCACTGAGGGAAAGTTTAATGAAATTGACCATCTGTACAAATGTTGACATTTTACGTTGTGCATTTATCGTGTTCTTTACATTTACAAGTCTCGACACAGATTCAGAATTTGTCTTCCATATTCCACTTACCTTGTCTCCCATTATCCAGGTATGGTATAGCTGGTGCCTGGATGGACTTAAATTTTAAATATATGAGCCTTTCCTCTTTTTGCAGGACTTTGAGGCAATGGTATATTTTACTTGAAGTCAAGTCTGAAGTGCATTTCTGTTATTAAAACTAAGAGGCTAATGTAAAATCTAACTGTAAAATGGTGTAGGCTTGTCTGTCATGAAGCTGATGCCATTGTATGCTACAATTTGTAAACGTCCTGTGTTGATGTGGATACCATGTACATAAGCACGGACAATGATTATTGCAAGACTGATTGGCTGTGGGAATTGTAACACAATTAATTGCTCAAATTTCACTAAAACTCATGTCATCTCTAAATACTTTTGCACTAACAAGGGAACGTTTTTGACTTTTTTGAAGCTTGTAAGAAATTGTTCTGCAACCAAGAAAAAGATGTGTCCTGAAAAAATATCTTCTGTAGGTAGTGTTTGTAAGCACATAGATGTAATATATGGTTTTCCTACATGTAGTAATAAGATTAATAAACTGTAAATATACAAAAATAGTTTTTCCACATCAGTGGAGGGAATAATTAAGTTTAAGAAAAAGACCTGATTTCATATATACTGAAACCATCATACATGTTGTATGTAAATACATTCATGTAAGTTGCTTGGACTTTGCATTTGTAGAAGGCAGAAAAATAATGTCCACATTAGACTGAATTTCAAAATTACATTGAGTTAATGTTGTCTTGCATTGAATTCACAGAACTGTTATTTTTGTTCCTTGTATGCATATGCAAGTTCTCTCTGTAGGATTCATACCAGCATAATTATGTGTAGATTTTGTATTAATATTTCAGCACATATTAGTACTTTACCACAGAAAGAAACTTCTATCCCTCTTCTGAAGCCACAAGTTCACATTACAGAAATACTAAAATTTTAGAAAACAAAGTATGAACTGATTTCTGTGAGAGCACTTCCTTCTTGGATGTGCTGCTACATAGTCTGATAAATGTTTACCAATATTTTAGAGGAACATTCTGCCTCCATCTTCAGGATCGAAGAGTAATCTGATTACTTTTTCACCCACTCTGTATATTTATCCCAAATGTGAGTAAACATGTGCCAGACTACACAGTGTCACATCACAGAAGATGGTACTTGTAATGGTCACCATGAGAACCTTAAATCAGACATGATTTATGGAACTTAAGTATATGGAATTAACTGTTAAAATTGCACATAGTGCAGTATATGTAACTTCCAGGTAAGGACTACTTCCTTTATTTCTTCGTCACAAAATGTTAAACTTATATCAAAACAGTATTATTTATCCTAAGGTACATTATATTCATTAATATCATTCCCTTGGTATACATTTAAATTTCACAATTGAGGAAACATCTCCAGTGCTCCCTCATCATAGTACAGTTGTGGTCATAATGCATTTTATGTGTATCCTCCATTCTAGGTGTAGTGTCAGTAGTTGTGGTAGCACTGATGGTATGCATACTGGTTTTGTCTGTAGGTTGTAAATTATGTGCAAAAAATGTTCATCTGCGTGATTACACTTTCCATGTCTTCTAAGTGAATACCAAAACCTCCAAAAACTTTTCTTTGGAGCCATGGTTTGTTTTTTTCCAGCATATGCTTGGTCGTACTATAGTATAATTCCTTCATTTGTGAGGAAAGACATAATGTTTTTAATAATGTAGTTTGTAATATGCATTGGTGTTTTCACCTTATATTATGAGAAACAGAGGGAGCACTTTATTAGAAGTGTCCAAATTGTTACATAAAATAGTGACTTTCATCTTACATTTCAGTTGAACAGGGGCATGATTTTACACATTATATTCATTAATTTATGAAAAGAATTATTACTGTTTGAAGACATTTTTGTTAAAATCTCTCCTCTTAGAATTGCCATCTAGTCAAGAAAGAACTTCATACTCCGCATTAGAATTCAATTGCATGTGGGAGAAGCGAGTAAAGGAACTTCCATAGCATATTTAAGAATTTTTACTAACGAAAAATAATGCCTTACATGTATAGACCTGCAATACAAAATAATATATATCTAAATTACCATCAGTTTGCCTGACAATTTTTATCCATACTTCATTCACTTTTACAATATAAGAAGTTACATTTTCAGCTGATGATACAACATGGACTACGTATTTTTTAATTTTAATGCCCCTAATACAGGGATACACACAGAACCATTAAAAACAATCCCACATCTCCCAAACCAAAGCCGAATAAAGAAAACAGTGTGTGGCCTTCATTTTTAACAGATCTTGTAAATTTAAATTACTTATTAATGTTATATGATGCATCATTAGAATGGTGTAAAATTAAACACAGCAGGAAACAGATGATGTGATGGGATGGCCAAGAAAGCATACACATGTGAAAATGTGACAGTTTTCACAAAGAACTGACATAAGGTATGAGTGTTATAATCATTATATGATATTTCAAAATATTATTGTATGTATGCAAATGGAAATAGATCCAACAGCAGGTCCTGTACTACCAGACTGTATTGCTTAGAATTTTTCCATGTAGCACATAAACAAATTTACTGCCATTTTAATGTCTGGAAGAAGACAGAATTATACACAATTTCAGAGAATGTGTTCAGCCTTGAAGCAGAAATGTCCAGCTTGCCTGTACAGAGCAACACAGACTGTCTTTACAGGCAAGCAGGAGACTCTTTAACATGCTGCCTCCTCCTTTATTGTTGAAGCACGTAGGGAGAGAATAGGTTCAGATATATAGGCTGGTTGCAAATGTGGTTACTCACCATTATGGGAGGAGGAAAAGAAATGGAGCCTGTTTTGGGCCAGTGGATACAATAGGCAGGAAAACAGCCCATTTCAAGATCCAAGTATGTTTTTTTCTCAGGAAAGAAACTAGATTGTGGGGAGAAAAAAAAAGGAGCACAGTATTATTTTCCATTGCAGGAGGGAAATGGACTAGAAAATTGGGGAAAGAATAGCCCTTTACAGGGCTCCTGCAAATGGAAAATGTGAAGTCAACCCTGATTTCTGCATCATGTTTGGATGTGAGCTCTAGTGTAAAGGTAATTAGGAAGCATTAAGATGTGTTGTAGTGATGTTTGAATTATACAGGGCATCTCAGGAGGAAAGGTCAATATTCTGGGAGGTCAGAGTATCAGTCATTGTAAAGAAATAAGTGTACATATATGTGTCCTATTCTGAACATTTTCTGAGATGAGCTATTACACTGTACAGACACGCAACACACCATGTCCTTATGAGTTGAGAAGTGCATTAATGTTGATGGAATTTTTGAAAAGGTATTATACTAGGTAAATTGTACCAACTCTGTCACTTGAACAATAAATACTGGGATTAGAAACAGTACATAATACCTCTTTCTCATCAACAATTTTGGAACTGTACAGTGAAACAGCTCTATCTTGGAAACTGTTAGGAATAATCCTGTACACTCTTTCTGCTTAGGATGACGGATACTATGACCGCCCAGAATAGTGACCTTTCCTCCTGGAATACCCTGCATATACCCTTTTATTTCATGTATTCTGTGGAATGAATCAAATTGAAAGTGCTTTATGTTCTGCGGTATGGCAAAATGCATCATATGTAATTAACTGTAAAGAAGGATGTTTTATTTGGTAAGCAATTCATTTTTAATATCATATATTAATTTACATCATTAATACATTATCATGGAGGTTGTATTTTTAATTGTAATCAACTATAACAGACGTTTCATAGCAGTTTTTATGTCTGTTAAATTTACTGCAGGCACTGGTTAACACACTTCAAATTTACATACAAAAATGTATTTCTCCCCCAATATTTTAAATTGAAAAGTATATATTTCAAATACTGGAAAGCTGGTGTTGGTATTCTGAATGTGTATGCAATCCTTGGTGTGTTATGTGAGAATTTTTTATATTTAATATTGTATGATAAAAGAACATATAGCAGTCATTGACATTCTATGCTTTTAGAATGGCGTATAATTGTACAAATTAAACTACAGCATAGTATTTTCTGGGAATGAGCAAGTTTCACTATTTAATATGGTGGTTAGAGTATCTTTGCCGATTTTATTTACATTCATAATGTTTTTCTCCAAGAAAAAGTTCTATTTAAAGGCATAGCAGTGGAAAAAGTTATTTTTAAATGCCTTTGCTGGCTTAACATTAATACAGTTCTAGTATGTTGGAACTATTTTGCATTTCACCAAGCTCTGCAGTATTATCATAATTTATCTTCTAAGTACTTCCTTATTATTCTTAAGCCACAAATATAGTTTTACAAATGTGGTACATCAATTATCTTTGTTGTAAATGTTTAATTACTATCATGATGAATTCTTTTGAGATCAATAAAGTATTTTGATGTGAACTGAAATTGGTCTAATAATTTTCAAGAATATGTCATTAAGTAAATTTAATTATTACAGGTCCATGTTATTTTATTTCAAATGCCTGAAATTAATTGGAATGTTCAAGAGGTGTGTATCCATATGCTTTCAAAAAACTTTTTAAATGTTTTATACATGTTCTGTTTTAAAAATCTGTGATGTGATTATTAGATTACAGAATACGAGTGGGTCAAGACTGTTACTGAGAGAGGGAGGACAGTCTGCAACTTTGTACAGCATAAGAACTTCTGCTACTGTTAATGACTGTAGCACTGATGGGTTTAATATCATTTTACCATAAATGGGCAGATGTCACAACATATGTAACTCAAACCCGATATGTCCTATAAGATGACCTATTTTATCTAACAGGATATTTTCCATGAAAATTCCATCACTTTAATTTATTTTCTACGTGTCTTAGTGTTAGCCCTTTATCTTCTAGTAAATGTTCTAAAATTAGGATTCTTTCAAAGTTCTTTTCACTGTTACGAATCATATGCAAAACCAGACCTGCCAATAGTATTTGACCTAGCCATTTCCTGCAAAGTAATTTATGCAGTTCTATATATATCAAATTAACTGGAAGACAAGAGTACATGATTCTTCAGTTATACACTGAAAGGTATAATGACTGAAAAAATATATGGGATCACTACTCGTTACATCCCTGAAGACAAAACTCTTCCTCTTGAGGATCGCAAATCGTACACAGGAACTAAAGTTTACGTGAAACTATTACTAACTATGGGGCTGGGGATTTTTATGAAGCCATATGCTGCTCTAAATTCTCGAAAAGTTATTATTTTCAGTCACTCTAAGACGCATAAACAAATTATATCAAATACTAATTCTCAACAGAACACCTACTCCTCCGACCCTCCGACCATTTCTGCGATGGCTCGTAACGCTTCTAACCTCCTTTTCACCACGTCCAGCACATGCAACAGGTTGTAGCACATCACCGGCCTGCAAATCGAGCCTTTCCAAGCTTCCCAACATTGTAATATTTGTGTGCCGTACATTTCGACTCGTGGATTAGCTTCGTCATCTCTACATACTACGGCGACATACAAATCATGGATTAGTAAGTATATTGAAATTAGGGAATTCGATTACTGTACGCCATAACTGCTTCAACTGTGTTTCATCAGAGCAGTTAACCCAAATTATGCAGGCGATAGTTCAGATAAATATTCAGCAGCGCCATCATGATTGCCAACAATTGATGGAATGTAATTCATCCGAGATTAAAAGCGATGACAAACGTTGATCGTTATTGGTGCAGTACTGCTATTGGTCAATAGAATGCGTTATGATTGGTTGATCAATGGAGACCAATCAAGTTACAGGGTTTAAAACTGTTTATAGCACAGAACGCAAAGAAGTTTATGGACTCTTTATATGTTGACAGGGCTGCTAGACTTTTTGTTCAGCGTTAATTCACATACATCATCATTATTCACTTCATCCAAATAGCACAAGCCGGTCTAATCCATCACAGTGTAAGTAATATAATATTGCATAAAATAATTGACGCATGCTACTTCTATCTACAGAATAACGGATACAAATTATATCCTTATAGTGACTGTTCCTTGTGTTGTACACTTCATTCCCGTTATATATTTTCTTAATTTCTGTTGTTTTATATATATTTTTTTTAATGTTAGTGGGGTAGGACTAAGTCCATTTTACTGCGGCCACTTCTGGCCCATTGTACCAGCCCCAGTTGATAGGTGAGGGTGATTGTGAAGCAATTTTTGGAATGAAGATTGGCAGGGGAAACTGAAGTACTCGGAGAAAACCTGCCCCAGCGCCACTTTGTCCACCACAAATCCCACTTGACCAGACCCGGGATCGAACCCGGACCGCAACGGTGGGAAACCAGAGACTATCCGCTTGAGCTATGGCGCGGCCTACATTGTTTTATATAACTATATGTCATTAGGAAGGTTCAGAAAAACCAGGTGGGACAGAAATTGAATGGAACACATCATCTGCCGGTCTGTGGTGATGTAAATCTATTAGGATATAACATACATACCATAATGAAAAATACGGAAACTTTAATTGATGTTAGTAAACATAAAATTAGGCAAAATGACTAATATTATGTTGCACGTAAAATTGCTTGACCCATGTTTGGATAAAGAAAATTTCACCCGTCATGGGATGCATTTGAATTCTAAAGGGAAAGACAAAGTGGCAAGAATTATTGGACAGTATATAAATGAACACCTAAATAGACAGGATAATAATATCCTTATGCTACCATGAACTAAGGACAATAAGTATCCCATTTCTTTGATGGAGGTCTCTGCCAGTGTATGTTCAACAGAAGTAAGTTAAATAAAGTGAGAGTATCTGAAAGATCAAAAAACCACCTGTAATGAGACCTAATAATTTTTTATGGTCAACCAATTAAATAATGCAAATATTAGGCCTAAAATACTAGGACCAGAAGTGTCAAAATTAATAATTTTAAAAATAATAATAATAGAGAAGATAAAATCAAATCGTATAAATCTGATTCTGTGCTTGATCTAAATCAATCAAGTAAACCTGCTTGTAGTCATTTAATAGATAAGGAAAATAAAAGGAAAATAAAGGTAAATCTATTTCATCCCCTTTTCAGTGTAAATTAAATTCTCAGCAACAAAATTCTTGTATGATAAATTCACATGTTAACTCTTTGACTGGTGTGAAGGGTATTTAAATCCCACCCCTGTCCTGGCAGGCCCTTTAAACCTTATGTCGCTAAAATGCATGTAGTTACTTTTTCCTAAACAACTTCAACAAAAATTGGTTTTTAAAAACGAAATTTTCAGGAACTAATTAAAATACAATATTTTATGCAATAAATGCCTTTCCATACCTCTTTATTAGTTTTTCTTCCTGTGATAAACATTGAAACATGAAAGTTTGCAGAGAGCCACACCACAGCCTGCACACATGATACT